ATAATAATGACAATAACAACAATGATAATGACAACGACAGTGACAATGACGATTACAATCTTAGTTTATTTTTAGTTAGAGTTTTATGACGCTTACAACACAATAAGGTCATATCTGTGCAGAAGATTAGAGGTGTTACAAGAGAGTAACAACCACAAAGAAGAAGGAGGGGAGATAAAGGAAAGAAGGAGCAAACCACACCAGAGCACACGCTAACCACCCACAATGACAATCTTTATTCATCTCACAGGGAGAAATTTGTCTGGTCATTTTCAGTGGCAGTGGATGTTACAAAGGTTAGGTTTTTGGAGACAAGATAAGATGAGAGTAGATAGGATAAGAAAAACCTTGATTGTCCAGACACTGGCAAATTGGTTTGCTGTTTTGCCACACGTTCACATATAAAAACCGCTAGAATTTATTAAATATATGTACATGATGTATAATACAGTTAAGATGGTCCAAGACGACCAGCTGTTGATAAGGAGAAACATATTATGGCCATCTCACAAAGGTGGTTGTCTTGCACGGTACCATCATAACACAAAAAAAAAAGCAAAGTTGGAAATAAATAATAATAATAATAAATTACTCTCTTTATTTGTCCCAGAAGGGCGCTTTGTTTTGCAATGGCCAACATACATTTACATACATAAACACATAATTATAAATACGTGCATACATAAATACATGCATAAATACATACATAAATACGTACATAAATAAATACACAAATACACAATATTACATTAATACAGAACAGTAAACAAACATGCCACTGTTGGTCGCCACTGTGCAGCGCCCTGTATTTTGAGCTAGGGTTGTCGTGTCTTGCTCAAGGACACACCCCAGTGACCTCCCATCTGATCCTCGTGTCACCGACACTTGCTTGATATTACTTGGGTCTTAACTCACTACTCACTTAGCCACTGGAAGAGGCCGTTTGTACAAGTGATTGTCTTATGCAGGTGGCCGTTAAATCAGGTACCACTGTATGGACAAAATAATGTATGTATGTATGTATGTATGTATGTATGTATGTATGTATGTATGTATGTATG